CTCTCTCTCTCTCTCTCTTTCTCTCTCTCTCTTCTATCGTTGTTGCATTTTGGACTCTTTCTTTTATTGGAACTCTTGCCAAAAGAAAAACTCTTTTACTAGAATTATAACTCTCTTTTTATTTGGTCAGATAAAAGACTTTCATTTATTAGAAAGGTAATGGAATTATCTATTAGGCTTTTGGGCTTATTTAGGGTGACAAAAATAGCTAATAAAGATAAAATAGACTAAAATAGTCAATAAGTCAAAATACTATGTTTAAACTATAATCATTTCACATTTTCTCTCATAACCATCAAATCAACTATAAAAAATAAAAAAAATAAAAAGTCAACTATCTTCCCAAATACAACTACTTTAATCAAGTTAAAATTATCAAAAAGCTAAAAAATCAATTAAAATAGCCAAATTCCCAAATAAGGCCTTAGGATATACTGTGGTCTGTTGATAAAATGAGCCTTATAATAAAAATTATAAGAATATTGGACTGGCTAACTTTTACATAAGCTTCTCATATTTGGGCCTAGTATTAATTAAGGAGTTCGAATTTAACTTATATCCATGTATTTGATCTATAAATTTATATGAAAACATTATTGGGATAACTTTTCAATTTATATTCATATAATAATATATATGAAAAATATATTTCCATTATCATTTGAGAAAAAAAATATAATCTTACAATATCTTTTTATATATTATTTAAAATATATACAAACGCTATCCACCAACAATTCTTGAAATGTTTACAATTCCACGCTCCCGCTTCATGTAACTAAGGTCTAAAACTACAAGGGATGTATCTATATACATTCAAATCACAGGGGGTAATGTGCAACAACCTAAAGCCACAGGGGATAAAGTGTTTTTTAGCCTTTTAAAAATAGACTATTCATATGTTATAATATGTATGCGATTTGATCTGGTTTGATCAGTCTAATTTTTTACATGCATATTCTTCTCAACATGTCATATGAAATGAATGGTTCAAATTATTGAAATAAGTACATATTAATCACACAATGCGTCAACTTCACCCATAAAGTTGAGAAATTCAACTTTAACAAATTCGAACTCATTTTATTTCTCCCTTATTATGAGGATTTTATGTATTTGTTTATTTATTTTTATTTTTATTGAAGTTTCAGCTATTCCTTGCAGTGGTTGTTGGATTTGGTGAATGTTGACTTTCTAACTATTGTTGAATTTTACTTATCCATTTTGCTATAATACTTTTCATATTTGTAATAAATCAATAAACTGATTGGAAAAAAGGGAAGAAAGTTTAGGAAGTTGAGGATTATTGTGCAATAAATAAAAATAAATAAATAATATTGTTTTCATATTTATATTTGGTTTTTAAGTCATAGTTTACGCCTAATTGTCAAGGAGAAAAGTTAGCATAGTCAAAGTAATTAATTCTAACGTGCTGATGACAAGAGTTACTAATCTAAAATGTGTACAAATTATGGATACAACTGAGGTTACAGTTAAAAAAACATTTTTACATTCTGGAAAATTCATACATTAAACATTTATGCATGAAAAAAAAAATGGATTGGAATCAATGCGTTAAGTATTTTTGTTTAACATTAATGAATAAAACAATTTTGCATGCTAAAATAGTATGGAAACTGAGAGGGGAGATTTGCGCCGTTAGTACGGCCGAGCCGGGATTGGACGGGTCTGTTTTGCTCTATCTCGAGGATGGACTGACCGGGCGGAAACCTAGCCTGGCCGAGCCGGGACTAGCAAATATACGGCAGTACGCACAGCTAAGAGGCGAGACCAAGCTACGGATAGCTCGGGCTAAACTGTGGACAAGGGAGGGATGACGCGTCTCTGACCGGTGAGCCGAGATGGGAAGATTCAATATAACCTCGGATGAAGGCAGAGCGGACGGGGGCCGGCATGCCTCGCGACTGGCCACGACGAACAGGTTCAACTCCAGCCCGGTCCCTTCCCCCCCCCCCCGCCGCCCCTTTGCGAAGGGGCAGTCCGGTGGGGCATAGCGCGGTTGAGCGCCTGCAGCGATAGTTCTCCTTGGGAAATAGGCCGGTCGTGGTACTGCGGTCAGGTGTGCCACCTGGGCCAATGGCACGAAGGAAGGGACATCTGCTCCACATATGCCTCAATACCGTTAGGCAGTTCTGCGTGTACTGTTGGGAGGACTAAGCCTTTCCACACGTAAGGTGGTGAGAGGCGAGTACTGCCACCTGTCCAGGAAAGGACAGCAGAGGTAGTGCGTACATGATCTTGAGGCTGCATGGCCAACCTTGAAATAGGGAGGAGGGCGAACGTTAGAGGTATGCAACTTCTTCCCAAAAGAGAACACTCTCTCTCTCCGTCTTCTTCCTTTTCCTCAAGTGAACTGACTTGATCGTTGGAGGGTCTATCCGGCACACCACCGCCGGGCAGCTCACCGTTTCTGTGTTGCCAGGTAGACGCCGTCAAGAGAAGCTCAGAGTACAAGGAGTACGGAAAACAGAGGATATTTCGCCCCCGTACAGAAACACATCACATGAATTTATTAGAAATTTGCTTAACAAACAGGACATTTACATTGACCAAGAGTAGCAAACTTATGTATATAGCTGTATCTAGGAGGAGAAAAGTGTTGAAATTCATTAACAAATACCAATGTAAGCTGTTTTGCTTGTCTTTTATTTATTTATTTGTATTTATATTTTATTTTATTTTATTTTTTTGATACATCGGAGACTATAGATTGAATTGGGGAATGTTAGAACCCTTGAAATTAGAGTCAAGTTGCAAGAATTTTAGTTAATTGTGCAAGTCTCAGCTAGTTATTCCGCTCGACTATTGTGTGTGCTAAAATCTGACTACAAAATCAAACTCTAATTTTTCTATTGTAATGTTGGAACTAAGTATAATGTCCCATTACCACTAGCCTAAGTAACTTGTGAGTCTACCAACATGATCTAAAAATTTAAGTCCAAATTACTTAATAGCAAACTAGTGGTGCCTTATATGCTTAAGATCACCCATGCAAACTTTCAATGTAGGATAGAATCTTTACAAAAATTATAAATCCTCGCGTTCTCACAACAATCCATAATCAATCAAAATACTATGACAATCTCGTGGCTAGCCCAAAATAGTGATTCACATGATTTGTATGCATGGGTTGCTCTAATACCATTTATAATGCCCACTACCACTGGCCCAAGTAACTTGTAGGTTTACCAACATGATTCAAAAATTTAAGTTCAAGTTACTTAGTAACAAACTAATAGTGTCTTATATGCCCAAGATCACCCATGTAAACTTCCGATGTGAGACAGAGTAGTTACACAAAGTCCGGTTGCTCATCAACCGGAAGGGCACTCTAATGCTAAAGTCAATAAACTAACATCTCAAGATATTTCAATAGAGAAACAATAACTCAAATTCACACTCATAAATTCGCGTACATTCACATATTTCTCAGCCGTAGGGTTGCTTGCCTTTATATAGAAGTGTCCCTGCCTCCTTCTAGTAATCATGTTTTTGACAAACTCTTATTCCCTTCAGGAATAACAAATCACCTATTCAACACACACCCAAAAATAAAAAATAAAATTAAAATAAAATAAATAAATAAAATAAAATAAACAAATCACTAGGAGTCATTTCTCCTAATTGGGTTAGGATTGTCTTCTCAAAAGAGTCCTAAGCTTACCCAACTTACTAGAACTCTTATTCTTCGCCTTATACATCGACTCGAATATGGATCATTTTCATATCTCGGCCCATCTTATACCCACACGCGACACCTCGACCCTAAACCTAGCCACGTGAACATGTCAAAAATTATATCCTCACAACTACTTTTACCATCATTATCTTAAATCCTTAAAATTCGAATCAGGTGCATGAATCTTGGTTAATTAGTTTAGCCCAAGTTAATTATCTCCCTTGACTAATTAGGAACTTGATGGAACAATCATTTTTACACTCATTATATCTTTCCAACAACTCGACAATCATATCTGCCCACCAATTATAGAAGCATTAGTAGTCATTCATCTTTCATGTCTACATGCATCATTATGAATGCATATTGATTTTCCAAACACTTAAAAGGCATTTTCATACACATCAAGTTTGGTCCAAAATGTTGAAGACATTGTACCCCATTTGCCCTGCCCTTTATTCACGGTCCACCACATTCTCAGCTCATTGGGCCACACTACTCATTTGACCCAACAGAGGACATGTGAGCCCACATGAAAGAGCGACTACTCATATCACGCAATCAATAAGTGAAACATGGCGGGCCATCCCCCATATACCCGGGTGGGCCACTGCATGACTGCACAAAACACACAAAAAGCCTTGGCTCATATAATGCACCACCACCTACTTCATTCAATGCTGTCCCCTGTTGCCTTCTTCTATGCATTTTCTTCCAAGATCTATGGTCCCCAACTCAGACAAAGTTTTGGAGGAATTGTTATCACTGTAATGTTTGTAGCCTTTCATTTAAGATTTAGTTGATATTGTTGAAGAAATTATCTACCAAGTTTGATTTATATAGAACACCTGGTATGCTATTTCAATAACAAGTGTATTCCCAACTATTTTGTCCATAATTTCAAAATAAGATAGTCATGTGTCCCCTATTATAGGATGGGCACACCATCACATAGAAATCAAATCTACCAGATAATTTTTTGATATAATGTCTTTTTGAGATCCTTTTGTGTAAATATTTTTTTGATCTGTGATACTATATTTGTCAAATTTTTATGCCATATCATTCTTACTGTCTTATTTGTCAACACAATATTAATATAATAAGTCTCATTACTAACACATAGCTCTAATTCAATACTGATAACTAGACTTACATAAGATAAGATATTAGAAATAGATGGTCATAGTAAAATTATATTTTGGCCATCTAAGACCCTTTTGTCAATCAAATGGACTGGATGATGGACTGTTATTTCATGTGCAAGACAAGACTTTTCTATACACAATTTCGATATTGATTATCATTCTCTCTTGGACGAGGAGGTACAAGCTAATTCAAGCACAAATATTGAATGAATTAAATTGACTAAGTACTTGGTACTTACCAAAAAGAAGCATTAATCTGGGGCTACTATGATACTTTCAATTAATGTAATATTATTTAGATTACAAGGCCTATATAGTAAGCACCCCAAGTGCTTATGACTCAATTATCAAATAATATATTAATTTAACAACACTTTTAGAATATGCTATTGCTATGTACAAAATCTTTCTAGCTAACCCTAAAAAACTGCAGCATTTCTGTAATGCTTTCCAACTTCTCTCCCCCTTCATCTTTCTAACAGTAATTTCTTTTTCTTTTTTTCTTTTTTTTTTTGCAGCTAAGCCAAGCTACTAGTACCCACTTTTTATTTCCTTCTTTTTTTTTTTTTTGTCTGCTAGTTTGGTTCTCTAACAAACACCACTTAGTTGTGTATTGGAGGTTTTCTCTTTGCAGGAGAATAGTCCATCCCAGCTATGTCTAAAATGTCAGGATAGTGCTCGGGGGAGGCCTCCCGGTGCTCAGAAACTGGCGATGATTTAACGGAAAAGCTTTCCTCTTTTTCACTGAGTCCATTGGTATTCAATTTGCCGGTGGATATGGACCCTGCTTTAGTCCCTCCATTCTTGTCATTCTGTACATATAAGCATATTTACAGTTATGTAAAGGAAGTAAAAAGGAAGAGAGGGGGGAGTAGTCCGGTGATCATAGTTTTAAAAAATGGTATCGGGATACGTATTGAAATTAGTGATACGATTATATATTATTTGGCTTCGTATCAGCAAATATCAGTATCAAAAGTTTAAAATTCAAACACGAATCGGCCCATATTTAAAACCCTGCTATCACTAGAAACTGACTTTGTTCTTTATGAAAAACCAACCTTTGAAATAGTGGTGGCGGTATTAGTAGTAGTAGGATTAGAATTGGCCTTGGAGACAAGTTTTCTAATATTTCCTGCAATGATAGAAAGAGAAAACCATTTGAGATATTAAATGGTATTGGACTTGTAATACATATGTGCAACTCTTTCACATGTTCCTTCCATGAAATTCTATTCAAGAAATTCAAATTTCACAATCCATATAAGCTATCAAATTAAAGAAGATACAAAATTGTTTTGTGGAATACAAGGTCATGGGTTTGAGCCTTTTAAAACCCACCTCTCTTCTGAAGAAAACTATAATAGTCAAGCATAAAAAAATTTATAAAAAAAAAACACCTAAACTAATCCCGGTGGTTCTAAAAAGAGACTTAATGGTGCTTGGGGTTGTGAATCCTAGGTCCATAGTAGTCTTCATGAATTTTTGGTAACCAGTGGTGGATTTCCTTAGTTACTCTTGAAATTCTTCTCTTCATGGTATTGGTACCTGAACAATTCTCATCTTTGCAGTGAATAGCGACTTCGACTCCTACATGGATTTGATCATGCCCAACTGGTAGAAATCCTTTGTTCAACCGAATAGCTGCAAAATATTGAGATTAATGTTATATACAAATTGAAAAATTATACAGAAACTTCATACAGAATGATGTGATTATATAAATAAAATCACGAGTGGCCTCCAAGAATAAAGCCAAATGTGTCCATATTCAAATGTTTATGAGATGATATGTTGAGCATACCTTGAACATCAGAAATGAGAATGGAGAAAAGTAAAAGTGAAACTAGCAAAGAAGGCCTCATTTGGGACCACGAAAGGATGTGTGTGAAGAAGAGAAATGGAGAAAGGTGATGAACAGAGAATGTGGGTTCTCTTTTCTCTCTCTCTCTCTCTCTTTTTGTTTTTTTTTCTGTTTTGGTTTCTCTTTCTTTCTATTGAAGAACTAAGATATGCAATACAGCTTCTGAATGGTTGATAGCATGCGGGAATACCTGCTTTTATATATAAATGGATGCATACATGGTCTGTGAGGTGCACATTAAGTTATTAAATTGGGATTGCCTATTTCTTTTACTTTCTTTTGAAAAGTACTATTTTTTTTATTAAAAAAAAAATAAACAAAATATTTGTATTGTTTACAAAATTTGTAGGAATATCCATCCTTACAGGGAATTCATGCAAAATTTACAATTAACACTTACTTTGGTGCCTACTTTGTTTTAAAATGTTAAATTAACGGATGATTATTCAGTAGTCTGAAAGTATGATTACGTGATATTTTATGGTAGTATAATTGGTGAAAAAGATGGAGTATTAACTATTTATGTTTAGTGATTGAAAAATACTGAGCATAATAAATAGTAATTGGTGAAGGAGTATGGTCACGGGATACTTCAAAACTATTGTATAATTTTCCTAAATTAACAATGTAGTCACATCAATTTGTACAAATTTCTATATAATTTTTGTATTTATATAGCAAAATTAGATTATTGTTTAAATTTTTGTTGGGAAATTACATGAATTTTCAAAATTTAATTATAAAATCTTAGGTAGTGTTTGGTAAACTTTTAGAAATATGATTTGATAATAGAGTTGTGTTTTGAGTTTGTGAGTTTTGGAATTATGATTTGAGTGTAGAAAATTTGTTTGGTTATGAGTTTTGAAAAGAATTTTAAATTGAGTTTTGAGTTGAGTGTTGAAATGAGTTTTGAATGTTTGATATGACATGTGAAATAAGAAAATTTATTTAGTTATGAGTTTTAAAAAGAGTTTCAAACCTTAATTAAAAAAGATACAACTCATAACCAAATGCACAACTCAAAACTCTATTAAAAATCATGTTCAAAACTCATAACCAAACTCTTTTTAAAATTCAATTCAAAAAAATAATTAATAAAAAAAATAACATAAATTTGTTTTTAATTGAAAATATTACAAACAAAATAAATTTTTTTTTTCAAAATAAATATTCAATTACTACTTGAAAATAACTTTTGATTATATATTTGGTTGGATTTTTTTTTTAATATTTTTTATTTAAAATGTAAATATATATATATATATATATTATTTTTGTCAAAAAAAATTAAAAACAAAATTCCTTTTTCTTTTCTTTCTTTTTTTTTCAAATAACAGGTGTCAATTGCAAAAAAAAAAATGTTCTAGTCAACCGGCTGAACATTCAGGAGGATGACCAGCTAGACCCATGTCGCGCTTTTCAAAATTCAAAATTCAAAAAAAAACTCTCTTCTCCAAGCAAAAGCTGAAATAAGTTTTGGAATGTTATATTGGAATTAATTTTTCAAAACTTCAACCAAACAAAGCATTGAAAACAGCTTTGGGATCATGTTTCTAGAGCTGCTCTAAACACGGCCTTAATTTTTTTTTATAATTTTAATTTTTAATGTTTATATAATTTATCACTAATTTCAAAATATTTTTTTAAACATGAAGAGAAATTTTTCTCTATTTTTTTGTTTACATATATCATTATCATTTTTTTTTTTTTTTTTTTCTTTTTTTTTTTTTTTTAAAAAAAAAAAAAACTTCTGATCTCCTTAAAAAGGTGCAAATACAATAATGGGATTGGAGTTCTTAAAAACTATTTTGAGGGGACAAAACAGTCCTCACAAAAAGAGGGAATCCATTTTCTTGAAATTGGTATTAGGACAGACCATTTTTGGAAATGACATGAGAGTGTGAAAAAGTGCTCCTTCTTTTTGAGCACTTCCCTAACCGCCCCACCTCCTTTGGGGTATGGTGTCCCCTCTTTGAGGGTGTCCTAGAAGATCCAGCTTGGATTGTTCTAATGACCACACATGCTTTCCATCAAATGAATGATATATCATATGTATCATATAGCTATAGCACACTTCCACCCCACAGTTTGAATCCTCGTCTCATCTTCATGCAATCTTCTAACATGTGTCAATCTTTCAATTGTCTAATTGATGTGCCAATTGCAAATCCTTCTTTGATTACATCCATATGCTAGGGATTAGTAGGTGCATCATTAGAATATCCAATATTTTGGACAAGTTATTGGGTAATTTAGCATTGCTCTATGTCGATGCAGCGAGTTCACTATTTTTATATTAGTGTTGTATGTGTCAATTTCCGACCACACTGTCAACTTAGTACTCAACAGGAGAGCACCGACAGAATAGGTTAAGCCCGAACAACCTACAACAGAAAGAAGAGATTCCGGCGGTGGCTCGTCCACCCGGAGGCACTCCGACGATCAAGTCAGTAAAATATCTCTCAAAGATAACCAATAGTGCTTAAGTCACTAGACAGAGCATAAAAGACATACCTTAGACCCATGAGGCTGCCTCTCTTTTATAGCCAACACAAACTTAGTCCCAATAGAAGCCTAGCTTCAATGGACTTAGGATTACTGCTAATCTTGGGCTCCCAGTAGGATTAGGATGAACTCTTTAAGAGTCTTATCTTTACCCAAACTGAAGTCTTCTTCCATTCTAAGACTCGTGTCCCTTATCCGTTTATCCCGGATTCCGGTATCCTCGCAGATAACCTCGGCCTAGCCGAGATCATCTCGGCATCATGACCAGGACACGTGACACCTCGGCTGACACTTTGGTATCACCTCGGCCACGTGTTGTCATTCAAAAATAATATCCCCACAACTGCCCCCTAGGTTCTATTACCTCGGCATCCTGAGGTGATGGAACTTATGTCATTCCTACTTTTAATCATGACCCCGGTTTAACTTCAGCTTTTAACTTCAACTTGTAAATTTTTAAAATTTCAACAAGTGTTAAACATGACATCGGTTTAACTTCAACTTGTAAATTTTTCTTAGAATTTCAACAGGTGTTAAACATGACCTCGATTTAACTTCAACTTGTAAATTTTTCTTAAAATTTCAACAAGTGTTAAACCAACCTTAGCTTGTAAATTCCAACTCCCAAGCATCATTCTCTAACCCTCTTCATGGCTTCCACCTACTCTTTTGTGGACCTTATATAAAAAGTCTTTAACTTAGGCTGAGCTTTTCTCTTCTCGGACTTAATCATGCTGAGATCTTGTCTTCTAGAATCTAGGATCTGCTCACTTTAGGCTGAGCTCTTCTCTTCTCGGACCTAATCATCTAGGCCGAGATCGTGTCTTCTGGGATTCTCCATGCCCGACCTCCCGCGATGGCCGGTGAGAATGTCCCTTGGTCCCGCCATGCTGAGGGACTGCAGGAACCGTTTTCTGCCCCCCTTTCTGGGCACCTTTTTTGGCCGTTGGAATCGGCGTATCTTGTAGCGGGAACGGTGGCTGCATGACGTTGTTCTGCATCAGGAAATTGACGACCGTTTGCAGGTCCGCCAATTTGTCTGTCATTCCTTTCATCTCGTCATCCCTCCGTAGGCATCTATCTTTCCATACCTAGAGGTCATCCTTGTTATAATACCCGTTCCGTTCCGATTTCTTCGGTATGCCGCCCTCTTGGCCGACGTCCTTTCCTCCGTGATTCTTATCACGAGTCTCTTTGTTTCAGTTCTCTTCTTCAACGTCAAGGTCAATATGTTTCCCACTCTCAGTAGGAGTGTCGTCCCCAACCTTCTCTTTCTGTCCGTCGTTGGCCATCTATTCTCCTTTCTTTTCCACAGACGGTGGCAAATTGTGTGCGTCAATTTTCGACCACACAGCCAACTTAGTACTCAACTGAAGAACACCAGAAGAATAGGTTAAGCCCAAACAACCTGTAACAGAAAGAAGAGATTCCAGCGGTAGCTCGTCCAACCGGGGGAACTCCGACAATCAACTCAGTAAAATATCTCTCAAAGATAACCAATAGTGCTTAACTCACTAGACAGAGCATAAAGGACATACCTTAGACCCATGAGGCTGCCTCTCTTTTATAGCCAACACAAACCTTGTCCCAATAGAAGCCTATCTTCAATGGACTTAGGATTACTGCTAATCTTAGACTCCCAGTAGGATTAGGATAAACTTTCTAAGAGTCTTATCTTTACCCAAACTGAAGTCTTCTTCCATTCTAGGACTCGTGTCCCTTATCCGCTTATCTCGGATTTCGGTATCCTCGCAGATAACCTCGGCCTAGCCGAGATCATCTCGGCATCATGACCAAGACATGTGACACCTCAACTGACACTCCAGTGTCACCTCGGCCACGTATTGTCATTCAAAAATTATGTCCCCACAAGTGTTTAATTCAATAATAAGAAATTGAACTTACCTCAAGTAGTTGAACTATTTAATTTCAAGAAAAAAAGCTTAGAATTCAAAATTATAGAAAAATATTGAATGTTAAAATGATAGACAATGGAATAGATAAAGGGAAAAAATTTCATGCGTGGATGCAAAATTTCAATCAATAGAAGTATTGTAGTTTTATTTATTTAGAGAAACTTATTAACTTGTTAACATCTTATAATTTGCTATAAAAAAAAAGAAAAAAAAAATGTGTGGCATTCTTATTGGTATGAGAGAGTTATGACACAAGAAGTAATTAGTTTTATTTCTTATTCTTTATATTTTATTTTTTTGCAAATTGTATCCTTCCCTTTTGCTTGTTTAATCAAATCAGATGACTATGCATATGTTGTCCACTGATTTTAACCTGTCAATTGGACACAAGGATGGCAAATTCGGGACAGTGGATGTGCCACACCATCTTTATCCAGACCCTGAGTCTTCCAACCCCCCCAAAAATAGCCTCTCAAGGGCATTTTAGTACTTACACATTTATTCCAAAAGACATACGAAAATCAACAATAATAATATTAGAAATCATGAAAAAAATATTATGAAATATTTTATGAAAATTTTTCATCATTTGATTGATGTGTGATGTTTTATTATATTTATAATCCAATGATGGAGAACCTTTCATGAACATTTTCATGATATTTTTTTTATGATTCCGAATATTACTCAGCCAACAATATACATGATAGAAAATCTGATTCACATTGTTTTTGGAAAAATAGCAATATATGGTCTAAATACATAT